GACATCACATACATTTGAGAGTTAGGGAATGCAAGTAAACAACCCGATGAGTAAAAGTTTTAAGGAGTAAATTAGTAAGTAAGAAGATAAGTAAGTGGGTAAGTATTTAAAAAATGGATTAGATATGATGAAGCACAGATGTAAATAGTGTGTGTATAGATCGAATTAGGAACATTTTCTTGAATCTTTTAACTCAGGTTGTTATTGTCAGTTTCTGACAGCATTATGGAAAGGATCCCTACAGAGATAGACCTTTAGTTTAACCACACACAGCCGTAATATCACTATCACTCTCCACAAACTAATTTTACCTCGCATATTATTGTAGTTAATAATTTATTTCAAAGTGGACAATGAATGAATCCTCTGTTAGTCTTTCCACTGTTCCAACAATCACCAACTCTGGTTTGGTTGAAATAAATCCTCACTTCACCAACGTGGATGAGAAAATAGCAGCATAACTGGTTGCTATGGCTACCATGTAATGTAACATAAAGTCAGTCCAGTAAAGGTTGTTTTTTCCACTGACAGGCTCAGATTGTGTCTGACAACATTATGGAAAGGATCCGATTTGTGTCAATAACAATATGACCAAAAAGATTCGTATTTTCCCACCTTTAAACCTCCTGTTTCATTAAACCTGTAGATGTAGGATGTGTATACATCTCAATAGAAAACAATGAAATGGAGAGAGACGATTTCTAATAACTTCTAGTATAGACCAGAATACTGATATGTTTGTAACATAAACACATACAGATACAGCTATTAGCTTTGTGTTCCGCCTGTAGCACCACCTGTCTGGTGGTAAAAGGGAGTTTTTCTATATCTTTTGTTCACATTTTCAGGATTTAAAAGAGTAATGATTTCAGCTGCCTTCCATTGGTTGCTCAGAAGTGCCTGCACACCTCTTCTCTGTCCCATGCTGTATTAGGAAACTGATGAATATTTATGAGAGAGTCATGCATTGATAATTAATAACTGTTTTCATAACATTTGATTTGAAAGGGTCATTATCATGCTTGATGTTGGGCGCCGCCGACCGTCATTAATACTGCAGAACAGACGTTCCTGAAGGCCGAATGGATTAATTATAACATCCAGACGACCAAACAGCTGTAATGCCTTTTAAAAGTGTGCACAGTTTAACAGTTATGTGATTATTCAAAATATAATTATAATTTTTTATATGATTTATAAAATAACTGTTCCCAACCATTTAGCGAAACAAAATCTCAACCACAAAGTAGAAATTAGGACGGCGTGTTGTACTTATCCTGACAGTTTGGAGTTTTAGACTCTAAAAACCAAAATGCACAAAATGGCATATAACTAGATTTTAAACAGAGCCAAGAGGAGGTGCAGAAGTCTCACTTCTTCTTACTCTTAAATTATGCTGAAATATGCCTAATGACTCCAATAAATAAACTGCCTACCACAGCTTTATATAAAATAGGTAATACTAGTGAATTGACCATTACGTTTTATAATGTCTACAACAGTGTGACAATATGAACACGTCTCTCAAATACTAAAGCTCTTCAGTAAATAAAGACACACTATTACCTGTTTTGACCAGGCTGAGGCATCCATAAGACCTTGTTGTGTATCTTGTGTGTATGCATTGAGAAGCATGATGGTTTAGAACATTAATACAGCAGCAAACAACTATTATCTATGTAGTGGAGTCATGGTGTCTCTCTCCCTCTGCCTGTGTTGTATCGCAGCCTCTCTGTGGTTTGTTTCCATAGCCGGTCTGCTCCGACTGAAACTGCTGTTTTTATCATCTACGTCGGTGAATTAAGGATTTATTTCCACCAAACCAGAGTTGGTGATTGTTGGAAACACTAACAGAGACGCTTTTAATGAGTTTTATTCTGTTTCTGTCCACTTTGAATGAAGTTACGATGTGAGGTAAAATTAGAGCTTTTTGTCTCTGGAGTCTGGTGGAGAGTGTTATCCATATCAGGTTCTGGTTAAACTAAAGGTCTATCTCTGTAGGGATCCTTTCCATAATGCTGTCAGACACTGACAATAACAACCTGAGTCTGTCAGTGGCAGAAACTACTACTGTTAGTGGAACAAACAACAACTACTGTTAGTGGAACAAACAACAACTACTGTTAGTGGAACAAACAACGACTACTGTTAGTGGAACAAACAACAAAAAAACACTTAGGAACAAACAAACACGTAGTGGAACAAAAACACACGTAGGGAACAAACAACGCAACGTTAGGGAACAAACAACAACACTTAGGGAACAAACAACACACGTTAGTGGAACAAACAACACTTTAGTGGAACAAACAACAACGTTAGTGAACAAACAACAACTACTGTTAGTGGAACAAACAACAACTACTGTTAGTGGAACAAACAACTACTGTTAGTGGAACAAACAACAACTACTGTTAGTGGAACAAACAACAACTACTGTTAGTGGAACAAACAACAACTACTGTTAGTGGAACAAACAACAACTACTGTTAGTGGATGCACTTTGATGGACAGATTTGTCCCCAAGGATTAACGTTAGCTTACGCTGTGGTCATTGCAGCCCTTTTCATGAATATGTTCACGTCTAACTCAGAAATGTAAAGGTTTAATTTGACCAAACCAGCGTTGGTGATTGTTGGAAAGACTTACAAAGACGGTTTCGGTGAGTTTTTTGTTTCTGTTCGTTGTTTTGGTCGGAGATGCTGGTGCTCTCGTGCGACATCCAGTGGCGGATGAGTTTTGTATTTATAACCTTTAAGAAAGTTTATGAAACCGTTTTACTCGTCAGATCCGTGATTTTGAGAATGTATGTCCAGTAAGAGCTGATTCCCTTCTCCTAGAAATACTGGCCCACAATGCTGGAGCTGCTGCTGCCTGCTGCATCTTTGATGATGTGTGCTGCATTAAGCCACCAATGAATATTTATATTATAATATTATTATACATTTTTTGTGTTCGGGCCTGCATGGACCGTTTGGATTCCGGCATGCAATGTAGTCGTTCAGGTTTGTCAGCGTGTATAAACATTTACCGGTGTATCTACAGATCAACGAGGCCATGAAGCACAGCCAGGTCGATTACTCTTGTTGTACCTTTCAGACGCCTTCTTTCTTTTTTTGTTCTGGTTGGAGCTCTTTTCAGCAAACAGCCTTTTCTCCAAATCCCTGAGTTAGCAACAGGAGTCAAAAGTTCAGCAGCAGTTGCAGTGCAGTCTGCGTCAAGGATAAAAACTCTGAATTCTGTTATGTAAGGTGTGGTGAACCTCAGGGAGACACACAAATGCACCAAATAGCTCTCTAATGCACCAAGTCCTTTGCATGAATGCACACGTTTGTCCCCCTCCCTCCCTACACACACACACACACACACACACACACACACACACACCTAACCTCAGCCTGTCTCTTGCATTGCCTATGGAAGTGTTCATTCTCTTTGAAGTTCAGTTTGGGATTTGGGACGGCCTCTAAAAACTCTTTAAATCATGATCTTGGAGAGATAAACAGAGACACTCTAACAAGGAGATACAGCGAGGAGTCACAGGAGATTCGGATGATCGAGTGAAAGTCGTTTTACTGTAGTCTTTTTAGTGACTCGTATAGTGTGCTACCGTAAGTAGAGCATTGGGAAGGATTAATCCTGATCATATTATAACAAAGAAGGTACTTCCTCATATATTCAATGTGCAGAGATGGGCTTTGAGCTTGTGCAAGGATTAAACTTTTACTCTTTACCAGTACTTAGTACCAGCACTTCTGACTTGTGTCCACATGGGTTCCCTTCTTGCTGGTGAATTACTCCTAAACACCAGCGTAAGTGTGTCTCTGTGTAAACACACAGCCAAACTAACATGCTAAGAAAGCAGCACTGGAAATGCCTGTGTTGAAAAGGAGCAGAAAAAGAATTAGGGTTAGGGTTGTGCTAAATTAGGTTACCGCCCATTTTTGTGATTCCATTCATGCACTTACTGGGCGAGTGCAAGTAAATGTTCCCAAAACCACAGTTAAGTTTTGATTTCCATCAAACCCAGGCAGGTCAGACACTCACAATAACACGAGTATAATTCCACTGGACGATGAGACGGAGTTCATGATGGAAGCAGACTGCATTGTTGAGATGGAACTGGTAGAAGTCTCAAAAAGTCTGAGGCAATGATTCCATAGACTTACTTTAACAATACACTGGACAGTCCTTGTGTTCTTGTCTTTTAAATTGGAGTTTATTTATACTTTTACGTGATACAGTAAATATCAGCTACTTTAAGACTTTTACTCAAGTAATATTCTAATAGATGACTTTAACTTCTACCAAGTCAAAAAAGTCATTTTCTGGCAAGATTATCTGCACTTTTACTCAAGTGTGGCTTTCAGGTACTTCATCCATCACTGTATATATGTGCTTTGTTTTATGATCTCCGAAGATCTTGGGAAATGTCATCATTTTTCATCACACTGCATTGAGCGATCACATTGCAGTATCTATATTAAAAATCTAGAGGGATAAAATAATGTGTGACAGGTACAGGCAGAGGTGCAGCTTCTGATTCAGACATAAAGTCAGAGGTTCAAACAACTGTGAAAATATACATCAACCTTGGTTATTTCTAAATGAATGGCAGTCTAATAAAAAAGATGTGTTTTTGTTTATACACTAATGCCACATAAAATCACATTTACTTTTCAGAGACTGGATATCGTAGATAAATGTTGTATGTCCTTTACTGCCTTATATCTGATTGATGTTCAATGAGAGCATGTTTTTAAAATATATAATAATACAGATTATTGTTTTTTGTGCCCAAGACGTGTATAAAGGTTTGCAGTATTTTTACAGCCCTGAGTATCTGCAGTCCTCTCACACTGCAGGCACAGCCTCCACCAATCGGAGGGAGGGCAGCAGCCTCTCTGTTGCCTGAGAGCTGAAAATAAATAAATATATTATAAGATCACATGTAGACCTTGACTTTAGTGACACTTTTGTTCTGTGTTTTTCTCTCTCAGACGTACGCAGTACAGAGTCACTACGGCATTCCACATTCAGAGGTAACAAGAAACTGACAGAGACTTTTTATTATTTAGACGATGTGTTCTGAGACTAAATTATGCTAATTGTCATTTATATTCACTTCTCTGTTCCTCCCTCAGTTAGCAAAGCTCCACCAGTTGTCAATGCATCAACAAGGTCTGGCCCCCATCAACCAATCAGCTACACAAGTTCTACCTGGTATGTACACACACACACACACACACACACACACACACACACACACACACACACACACACACACACACACACACACACACACACACACACACACATTTTTCATGCGCTTGTGGTCAATATTTTTCCATTTTATAAACACTTCGCATTATTACAGATGTATTTTCTTAAATACACCTAACCCACATATACGAGCGGTGGTGAGGAGTCAAGAACATTTACTCAAGTACAAGTTTGAAGTGCTTGTACTTTAAGTGTTTCCATTTTCTGCTACTTTATACTTTTACTGATCTACTTTGCAGATTTAAATGATTAATACAAAATATAGACCAACTAATAATACATTGCTGTGTAGATTATAATAATACATAATTTAAGTAATTAAAATTGTCTCCACCTTTAACAGCAGAGACATTAAAGTGGCATCAATGCATCACTAATTATAATCCAGTAATATATATTATTCTGAAATGGGCCATTCTGCATAATGAGTACTTTTACTTTTGGTACATTAATTTTGAGTATTTTTATTTGCTACTTGTACTTAAACTGATTTAGAGGCAGAGTGCAACCAACTGAATACCACTCGCCTTCCAAACTCGCAAAAAATGTGACAGACCTTATCTAGAGTCAGTGTTTGGTTTGTCCCTTCTGGGCTGCTGTAGAAACATGGCGGTTTAACAGGGTGGACTAAAAACAGCTCATTCTAAGGTAACATTATACACTAATGAAAACATACCTGTGAATATTATATTCAGACAATAGATCCTCCTCACTGTTTCACTCTGGAGCTTTTAAGCTAAAGATCTAAAAACTGCCTCTGAATATAACGTATTTCCTTCAGTCAGTGTCAGTTCACCTGCAGAGCTTCCACCGCCCCCCCGACACACACACACACACTGATCTCTCCAGTATCAGCCATGAGTCTCTTCATCATCTCAGAATAGTGTCCTGTAAATAGTTCCGTTATAAAATCCTCTCCCCTGATTGGCTGCTGACAACGGCGTCAGCCAGAGAGTCGGTCACGCTGGACGTCAGTCACCATCGTCTGGTCAACAGTCCACAGTCCCCTCTGTTTCCACCACATCCGTCAGTCAGCTTTAGAGACCACAAAACGTCAGCCTGAGATGCTTTACGTGTGTGTGTGTGTGTGTGTGTGTGTGTGTGTGTGTGTGTGTGTGTGTGTGTGTGTGTGTGTGTGTGTGTGTGTGTGTGTGTCATACAGTGGAGGTGGGCTCTCTCTGTCTCTTCAGTCTGTAAACATTTCATTTAGAAGTCACCTTGTTGTCAGAGTTCTTCATTCATTTTTGTCCGCTGACACAAAAACTAGTGACTCTGTTTCAACCCCAAAAAATAAATAAACTTTAATTCAAAAACCTTATTTCCATTTCAGAAAGAAGAATGTCGTTACCTCGAGTTTCATCATTCACTGAATCAAAAAACACAGTCGATGTTTGTGAGAATGGATTCATTTTATCCGACATGTTCTGGATTCATCTTTTAAAATGCAGAGTTATTCCTATCCATCACGCCAGCCTCTCATTGTCTGAGGAACTTTTCAAGTACATAATGAGATAGTACATCTTATATAATCATTATTCAAGCCTTGTTCTGCATTTGATTCTGAGCATCCAGCTGGGCATGTTGGGAAGCTCTCGCAAATCAAACGGTGCTGGCTACATCAGTTAGCTACATGCTGGCTCCGCTAATTAACTAAAAGGTGAAAAATTAAAGCTGTAACAATGCAGACGATTGGTTTTCAAGTCAAAGAATATACGTGCATATAGTCAGAACAGTGACCTGTCATACATGCAACCACATTTCCAAAATATAAGAATTAAATCAACATTATGTAAGATTTAGAGCCCACAGTTGCAATCCCACTGTGGTAAACATGGACATTGTTCTACGGTTGTTAGGATTACATTACCTATGATCCAAAACCAGCAAGTCGACAACTTTTCTATCTCAGCCAAACATCAAGTGCAACAACACTCGACACAGCAAATCCAACTGACTAGTCCAACAGCAAGAAGGCCAGCTCGCCGTCTGTCTGCAGCCTGGCCACCAACTTAAAGCCAGTCCCACATTAGTCCGGTCTGAGTGGTTCCTCCGTCGGCCTCGTTGGTCTCTTTGCGTCTGCCGCTGTGTTCAGTACATTTAGCTGCGGTTACTTTAATGCCCACCAGGAAACTAGCCCGGAAAACATTTTCTCCATAAAAATTGATCCAGTTTCACCCATTAAGTGTTACACACTCGTCCCGACCTGGAGCTAAAGGTTATATAAAGCAATAACAGGAGTACAGAGGAACCGTTCACCCTATCACAACGTCATCAGGCATCAACAGGATTCTGAAGCTGATTTTATGATAGCAAATCTAAATAATGAGGCTTTAAAGGACAATATTCCTAATTCCTCATCTAGATGAATATTTTGCTCTCTCTCATAGAAGCACTTTCTGTGAATCCTCCACCTCCTTTAGAGAGGTCAGAGGTTTGTTCAAGTACACTTCAGCAGAGTGGATATTTACTGTAACTAAGTGAACACAGCTTGTGTTACTCTCTCTCTCTCTCTCTGTGGTCTGTTCACATTTTGCAAATGAGTTCTCCCACTGTTCGACAGACATGGCCGCTCCGTCATGTAGTTCTTCAAACAAATGCTAACCGCACGGCAGAGAGACAGAAGAGCAAATTATCATGTGGGGATATGGATGGCTGATTATTCCATTATGTCCCAGGTATAAAACTCATCAGTCGGGGAAGTGCAGATACACACACACACACACACACACACACACAGTAAGGAGCACTGTTGGTTTAGCTCGCAGTGGTCAGACCCCTCCCTGTGGAGAGTGAAGGAAAAGATAGAAAAAAAGGAAGGGAAAGAAGGAACATAAATAAAGGAAAGGAGGAACAGAAAGGAATAAAGAAAATGAGGAAAAAGAAGTCAGGAAGGAAAGATGAAAGAAAGAAAGGAAAAAAGGGAGAAAGAAAAATGATTCTTTAGAAAGAGTAAAACAAATGGTTGGCTCTTTCATTATTCTGAGAGATTCTCTTCTTTCATATTTGTTTATGCCTCTTCATTCAGCCTTACCTCTCTGTTTCTCTTGTCACATTCCTTCTTTCCGTCCTCTAGTTTTGCTGTATGCGTCTCGTCAGCAGCAGCAGCATGAAATCTTAAAATCGGTCATTGGTATGTACTGTATGTGCGCTCGTCTGGTGTATCTGTGTTCTATGTAATAAAATCCATCAAAATTACTCTCTTTCTCCCCCCTGTCCTTCTCCCTCCCTCTCTCTCCCTCTCCCTCTGTCTCACAGGAGGAGTGGACGCCAATTCCCAAACCACGTCTCAGGAGCTCCTCATTCCAAACGATGTAAGTGCAAATCCGAGTCCATCATTCGGACACGCAGAGAAAATGCACCCAGCGTCTTCCACTGTCACTCAGTTGACACAAATGTCATATTAAATTTGTGTCAGAGCCGAAGTCTTCCTTTCATTCCACCTTTTACGTCTACAGGACATCTGCTAGCATTAGTTAACTTAGCGGAAGATCCATCTAAGTGTCTGTTTTTGGAGCAAAATGTAGAATTTAGTGGCATCTAGTGGTGAAGTTGCAGATTGCAACCAACTGAATACCTCTCACTACAGTGGCCGTGAAAGGCTTGTCTAAGGTACTGAAAACACAATTGTTCTTATTTTTAGGTAATTACAGACAAATGAAAACAGATTTTTTTTCCTAAATGTTACACACTGGAGCTTGTGAAAGGCTGTCATGGCTGCCATTAACTCCTGCAATGATAAGCTCTGCCCATGGCTCCTCCCCCATGCTTTGATTGGACAACTGATTGTTTCCATTTTCACCTCCCTGGTATTGGTAGCTGTATGCTGCTCTCTGCTGGACAACACTGAGATTTGATTTGATTTGACAATTCATTCAGTTATTAAAGACAAAAAGCTAAAAAAAACTATAATTTTATTTATGTTCTTGAAAAAAGAAATAGTAAATGCATACAAAAAAAGGAATTACATATAAAAAATTGTGTTTCATTTTCTTTGTTTGATTAGTTTGTTTTAATTTAGGCATTTTAAATCTTCCATAGTCACAAATGCACACCATAAATAAAAATATTATAACCTGCTAGACTTTTTTTTTTTAAACAAAAGACAGCAAGATCATATGTACACGCTTAAAATAATTTTCTGTGTCTCTGTGGAGCCGCAAACGACGCATCGGCCTGTTTATTTCAGGCAGTGAAGCAGACAGTTAACAGTTCAGTGTCACACTCAAGGACGTATGACATTTGATGGACACGTCGACTGTCGTGAGGTCAACGCAGTGACCTTTTGTTCATAAAACAGCCTTTAGCCATCGTGTCTCTCTCCCGCTCCCTCTCCCATCCATCACAGGCAGTAAGTCATTCGGTCAGTGCTCAGCTGTTTAGTGCCTCACCTCCTCTTTGGTTTACACACAACAATGCAGCTCCTTCCAAAACGCTCTTTAAGCATCACAGCAATGTGTACGAGATTCTGTCATATAACTTCTCCTCCACTAATCTGGTTTGCAAATGACATTTAATCATTTTCTTAACTGAGGACTTTCCGCACAATAAACACAAAGTGCTTGCTGAGGTCAATTAAAGCATCAGCAAGCATTAGGGACAAGTGCAAGAGGTAAATACCAACAACATGCTCTTAAATACATAAAAGGCGTGTGGGCCTCTCGTGACGTCACCTATTGTTTTGTGGAGAACTGTTTTAAAGCCTCGTGTTTGGCATTATGGCCGTCGCCATTGTTGTCTTTTTACGTACTGCGAGTTGAGCTGCTCTCATTGGCTGCTCGCCTGCTCACACAGGATCTGGTGTTCCAGATAAACAGTAAAATGTGTTTGTGAACAGATTTGAGGAGAGAAATAGTCAACAACAGAATCTGGATCCATATCTGATCAGCACTGTAGCCCCGCCCTAAAGCATACCCTGCTTTATGGTCTGTTTTACTCTAAATGGGACCATCAGTTGCTAAATGAACATCATGCTGTATGGAAGAAGACTGAAACTAGAGACTGAGACTGCAACACAACCAGTGTGTTGCACAGAAACGAGCACAGAGGCTCAGACTGCTTCCTCAGTTCCCAGTGGACAGCAGAGTTACAGAACTCAAGACACTAAAATGAAGCAAGTATACAACACAGAGCCGTTATGTTCATTCTGACCTATAAGAACGGTAAAAGGCTTTTACCAAATTTCTAACTTAGCCATAGTGTCTGTGCATCTGTTGTCTGTCTGCATGCACAAGCAGACTGGTTACAGAACAATAAAATATTAATTCAATTCAATTTTATTTGTATAGCGCCAATTCATAACAGAAGTTATCTCAGGACACTTTTCAAATAGAGCAGGTCTAGACCGAACTCTTTAACATTAATTACAGAGACCCAACAGTACCACCATGAGCAAGACCTTGGAGACAAGGGCAAGGAAACACTGCCTGTTAAAAGGCAGAAACCTAGGACAGATCCTCCGGCTCTAGGTGGGTGGTCGTCTGTCTCGACCAGTTGGGGTGAGAGAGAGAGAGAGAGAGAGAGAGAGAGAGAGAGAGAGAGAGAGAGAGAGAGAGAGAGAGAGAAGAAAATCAAGAATGTCTCATTAACTGTTTCACTAGTTGAGTTTAGCCCAATCCATTGAAATTGTTCTCATATTACAACTATGTGGCTATTGCAAGTTTTTCTTTAATTTTTTTTCCCCAGGAAAACGCCTCTAGAAAAGGTTATGCATTTCAGATCTTCATCATTTTTGATGCACACACATTCTGGACAGTTACAGTGTAGATACCAAAAGAAAAATCATAATCTGTTGAGTTTGTCTTGGTCCAGTTTTTCAATTGAGACATTTTCTAATGTATTCCTCCTGGGATGAAATGAGATACTCCTAGTGACTTAGAACAAAATGTAGTATGACACAGATATGGCTCGGTCTCAAAACCTACAAGGAGTTACTGTTTGTCAAATGTTTGGTTGAAACAACTCAGAACAATTTCCATATCAATAATATGCGTGGTCCAGTTTATATCAGATATTTAACGTCTACCAGTTAAGGCATTGTAAATATGTTAAATAGAAACCAAAGTGCTTTTACAGTTATTATAATGTGCATATAAACATGGTTAATGATATAAACAGAGCTTCACAAACAGAGAGCTGTGAACTCCCTCTGTTTGCTTCCAGTCAGCCTTTACTCCTGTTCACATTACCGTTACCACTTCTTCCTGCTTTACAGGCTGCTGACAACAGCAACAACTGAATATGAGCGTTGGCACGGCAGGGATCATGACAGTTTAATGAAAAACACCAAACAGAGGATGAGATTTAACTCACTGACAATGTACAAATATGTGCTGTTTGAGAGGGAAACACACGTGCAGAGAGCGAGTGTGTTTTTCCCAGTAACACTGAGACAATATATTTATATTTATATTCCCCCTTTTCTGCCTCAGTTGCTCTTTTACTTCTCTTCCACTTTGCCTCTCTCCATCCATCCATCAATGAGTGTTAGTTATTCAGTCTGTCACACAGACACCCTGTCTGCAGGAGGACAAACATATGCACACATGTTTGATAAGTATTTAGGAGAACCAACTCAGTGTGTGTTTTAGTTGCTCAACTCTCAACTCCAACCTAACCTTAACTATCTATATATATATATATATATAATATATATATATATATATATATATATATATATATTTTATTTGCCATAAGATTGTTCCCTAACCTCACTGTAGTTGCCATGAGCAGATATCGTTGAAAGTGAAGACAGCACAAGGCTATCAAATTACTTCATGTATAGATGCAGGAGACGTGTCTGCAGTATATTGACCAGGTGTCCCACTTCATGTGCGACTGCACAGCATTTTAATCCATTGTTCCACATCCCATGTATAGCCGGGAGAGGCTGTCATCACGGGGCTGTGTTTGATGTCAATCATACTGCGCACACACACGGGTCGAGTGCAGGTTAACCTGTCACCGTCTTTCTCTGCGCTACAACAAAAGGGATGGTTAGATAGACAATATTTAGACATCCTCCCACATTGTTCCACACAAACACCCACGTTGGGTTTGTTAGGATCTGAGTCCTGGGTTCCTGGGTGTTTTTGGGGACAGGGATGATGGAGGTTTTAAAGCAGGAATTTTTGAAGGGCACAGTGCTTCATGGTGACCTGTTAACATCCCTCTCGTGGATGTGTATGAGTCCTACATATAATGCATGGAACAATAGGATTATAATAAAATTACAAAACAGACAGCAGCATACAGTAAATAATGCCGATACTAATGTGTTCTTCACATTTACAGCTCAGTCTCCCTGACGCGTTGCTCGTTTCTCATCCCTTCCTCAGTCTCTAATGGCAAATGTTTGATGATTTCTCCCCGGCAACTCCTGCAGTCACATCAGTTAACATTTCTTCACACTGGTTCTTTATGGATGATGTCCCTGTAGCACAGTAAAGGACAGACAGATGAGTATGAGAAACTCTCCATTCTGACGAGATAATCAACACCTCTGCAGGCGCTCACCTCTCAAGTATAAATTAAGCTTCATTTTCAAAACCCCTGAGCTTTAATTCATGTGTTGTGTGGTTGTTACATGCATAGACTCACACACACACATTAAACATGCAATCCTGCTCACACGTGCTCGTATTGTATGGCTGGTCTGAGAGAAATACAAGGGGGACACAGAGACACAATAGTGTAGATCAGAGAGGGACTTAAGACCCTGTGCATGTTAGTGTGTGATATGTTTGTTTGTGTGTGTGTGTGAGTGAGTCATTGAGCAGGGCCAAGCGGAGCAGCTTAATGACATCCTATAGCTCACAGTTAGAGATTTAACAACAGCCCTGTCTGACACTCCCCCCCCTCTCTCTCCCTTTCTCTCTCTCCTTCAGTAAACCTTTCCAAATTACAAGGGCAGCAGGGAATCACCCAAAAATAGCCCTCGGTCCGTCCTCTTCCTCCTCTTCAGCTTCAAGCTGATTTTACCCAACAGCACTTACATAAAGCTGCTCAGAGGGGGGACACACATCACTGTACAGCATCCGGTGAAAACCTCATATCTCCAGAGCAGCCAGCCTTGCTGAAAGTGTGAAAGCCAAAGCTTGTTTTACGTCTGAAGGTAGCTTCAGTGTAGCTGCTATAGGTTACTGTAGTAACTGAGTAGTCTTCCGATTATTCCATCAATCAATCCAGTGATTGAACAGAAACACAAGAGAAAGACAAACTAAAAAACAAATTGCTTTCAGTGTTTTTTCAGTTGTTGGGGAAAGGCTGTTGTTCCCTCACTGTACTGGTAGTGGAATATTTTCAAAGTGGGGTATTTGCACTTGTTTAAGTAAAGGCTCAGATCCTTTCTCTACCTCTGGTTAGCAGGTGTGTGCTACACAAGGTGGAGTCTCTTGGGTTTGTTGTGAGAGTGTTTCCCAGTGTGTGACGGGTAATTACGTCCCTTAAGTCAGCCATAAAGTATGTAGATGAGTTCAATATCCTGGCTGTACAGCATTAACAATAAACCAAGACCCCAAACTTTCCTTACCCTTAATAAACATAACCATACAAACCTTTAACTATGCTTCACTTTCTTCCAGATTTCCGAGATTGCATATTTCAATAGAAAACAAATGAACTATGGAGTCATCTTACCGGTACTTTGAGTGTCAACATTTTGCAACTCGCCAGATTAATTAACAACAGGATTAATTAACAATGTTTCCTCATTATGTTGATAACAAACTAATCCCCGAGGGCAAGGACGCTGCGTTTTCTTCCAAAATAAATTTGTTGTCGCAAATTAGTACTTCAGCATTTGCATGTAATTTCTAGGAGACAGGGTTGATGGACAGACATGTAATAGATACATAAAAATAGTACTGAGTTTAATTTTAAGTGACTTCTTATTAAACAACATTGTAACTTAAATCAGATTAGCCTGCTAGCACACCTGTGATGATAGTCCAAGACTGGATATATGAGGTTTTTGTCAGACACTGTCCTGCTGGTTATGACTCACAGGAGGCGGTTTATGATTCCACGAGGCCGTTTGTGAGGTCGAACAGCGGCTAAAGGTGGATTTCACACAAATGGTCCTGACCTGCTTGTTGTCAGCTGGTGCTTTGTCTTCTGTCTCCCACAGTGTCATTATAGCTATTACACACACACACACACACACACACACACACACACACACACACACACACACACACACACACACACACACACACTTCAATTGTCAGAGCCCTTTCCACGAATAGCCCACTATAGCACACAGGCCAGATCTACATCAGAGCTTGTTGGCCAAATGACTTGTGGGGCATGTTTGTGGTGCAGAGAGAGAGAAGAAATCATAAAAAAGAGAAAGATGCAGTGGCAGGGATGCAATGAGGAAATGAAAGATACTGAATGAAGGATTCAGAAAAAGAGGAGGCAAAGAGTCTGAATAGAGGAAAGATCTGGGTCAGAAGCGGATAAAAAGAACAGAGAGGAAAAGAGAGTGAGACGGCTGAATGGAGAGGATTGATGGAGTCAGTGTTCAGAAGTTTCATTTTAAACAGAGGAGAAGGAGGCTGTGAGGTAGAGCAGCTCTCAGCTCCTCCTTTCCACATGTCACAGCGCCCTCGAGCGTAGACACTGAACCTCAGATTGCTCCCGCTGATCACACCAGAACCTTGCATGTTAGCTTGCAGGCATCTGTGTGTGTGTGTGTGTGTGTGTGTGTGTGTGTGTGGTGTGTGTGTGTGTGTGTGTGTGTGTGTGTGTGTGTGTGTGTGTGTGTGTGTGTGTGTGTGTGTGTGTGTGTGAGAGGCAAAACAAAGCGCTATATAACTGCAGTCCTGTTACCGTTATCTGGCATCATACACCCTGAGAGAAGTGACGTACAACTGTACAAAACAACAACAGCCTAGCTGACTGATGAGGCAGTAGGTAATGGGTCAGACGGACGATGTGGTTTAGGAATGTTCCTGTGGAAACAGGACAGATATTACATTCTCCCTACGTTTGGTAGTAGTTGGTACTTGCACTTGCTGGTATTTGAACTCGGAGTTGGCCAAATATTCCAGTTGGTCTCGACTGAGTCTGAAGTAACTTCCTCCTTCAAGACAAAACCATCGATGAAGCCAGCTTGATCAGAAAACAGGTTTAATTCAGGATCCATCTAGAACGGACTCTGGCCGCCTGGGATCCGTGTTAACTGTCACTTGCAGTCGTATGCCTGGATGCAGAGACTCATCTGATTGACAGCGGCAAAAGCCTTCTTTTTGTTCTGTGGTCTTGACTGTAGCGCTGCAACAACCGTAATACCACCTGAAGCTGCTCTGAAGGCTTATAACACCTTACTAAGATACTACATTATTACACTACTTTTTTAGTTGGTTTTTCCTTCGCCACTTATCTGTAGCATCTGTAGTGTTGCTGACTGAGGATACTGAGGTTCACAATATCACATTGTTTATTTCCCAATCAGTGGAAGAGAAATTTGTAGTTTCTTTGAACAACTGTCAAAGGGCATACAGGATGTAAGTATTTATTTCTAATAATCACAAAACTATTATATCCTCATCTTGACCAAACAGTGAACAGTAGTTTGTTAACCTGAAATCCTGAAATTATTCTGAAATCATGACACCCAGTTTTGATCGCATGAAAACAAGTTTATGTATTAAAATTAAGAAATTACTTTACTGGAATTAATCACTACCCTCTGAGGCAAAGTATTATTACATTATTGTTTCTTAATTTTCTTTACAAGTGAACAAATAATTAACTGTAAATGATAAAGTTATTTCATAATATCTGTGTGTATTATATTTCATGCTAATGAGCCAGGCTGGGAGTTAATTAGCTGTTTGTACACCGATTGTTTATGCCAAACCTTCCTTATGGGGATCATTAAAATATATGTATTATATTTTTATTTGTTATATATTTTAATTGGATTACATTAACACCCTCTCTGGCGTTGACACTGAGACTGCACTGCTTATTATCTGTGCTGTCACATTTATATCCTCTCAATATATGGGACCTGTTTTTCCACGTTTTCAGAGCAGAGAACAAATGGTTATAGTCGTTTTATGTTGCAGTGTCATTAATATTTCTTGTTTTGTCAGAGAAAAATGACACCTGGTTTCATTTGATCCCAATCCTTGAATTTCCTCTGCAATAGTTTCAGTCCCTCTGTTTTGTTATCATCAGATTTCTATCTGTATTTGTAAAAAAAAAAAAAAAAAAAAAACTGCATCAGCACAACAGTTCTTTTCATGCAGTTCAGCTCCAAATGCAACCTTGACACACAAGAGATACCATCCTCATGCCATCCTGCCAACACACGTCTGCCTTTTAGAAAAAAGGTAACGAGACATATTTATGGTCTGCACTGACGAGATAACTAACTATCTGTCTACTGTGACACCTACTGCATTACAGAAACCCCCACTGGGACCAGTATAGCACACACACACACGCACACAGATGAGTCAGAGTTGACCACCTGTTGCTTTTCCATATTCTTAGACAGACGGAGAGAAAGAAACATAGAGAGACAGAAGGGTGTATGTGGGTTGATCCATCAGCTAAAACATTGAAATTAATAAGGTTTATGGAGCTCTGCATGTTCCACACATCCAAGTGGAGTTCATTCAGCACTGTGGTCATTTTAGAAGCTGTAGTTGTTTTGTATATTGATTAATATTGTGTTTCTAATATTTAGACAAAGAAATTTCACATTTCCATTCTGTTTTCTGCGTTGTTTTTCACCGTTTGAGCTTCCACTTCACTCCACCTCCACTTGTGAACCAACTCCTTATAATCATGTAATGGTAGTGGATGAAAACAAGCTTTCATTCGCATTTTGTTTTGTCAAATTAAAAAAACACAGAGCAGCTAGCATGACTATAGATGCTTAATCTTGTTAAAGCTGATTCATTGTCAGAGGTATGTTGAATATTGTAAGAATTACAAAAATAAAAAAGAGTAATAGACAAACATTTAAATAGAGACAGTTTTATTTCTACAAGCGCTGACAGACACACAGACAGGCTTAATAACTACCAACAAGAATATTAAAGGTAGAACGTTTATTGAAAATGCAGTCTTTCCTTTAAGAAACCCAAAATGTCTGTAATCCTAATCCTCTGTTTCATCCTCCCCACAGCTGATTGGCTCCATCATCGGTCGTCAGGGCACCAAGATTAATGAGATCCGGCAGGTATCGGGGGCTCAGATCAAGATCGGCAGTCAGATCGACAGCACCAGTGACCGCCACGTCACCATCACCGGCACACCGATAGCCATCAACCTGGCTCAGTACCTAATCACTTCATGGTAAGCATCCAAACTAAAGGGAAGTATCTGGATACAACAATGGCTGTCATGGTACGATGGCTCAGAATCTACCTCATGATGTCAGTGGCAGTCCTATAGCCTTCAACCTTCCACAGCACCAACAAGCTTTATGTTCAGAACTGAAAGGCACAAAACTTAATTAAACATTTGTTCTCGTAACTTTTTAATGAACACCCAGAAAACAGACGAGTTGAGTTGAGATCACAGATGAAAATACTGTCAAGGTTTCTCATCAGTCATAACATTCAATCATTTCATGGACTGAGTAACTGTGAAAACTGTGGCCACTGTGGAAAAATAGCTATTTCTATATAGTTATTCTTAACTAGCAAGAAAAATGTCCCCTAGGACTGTTAGACTGCTTTATATGATATCATTATATCATTAGAAATATAATAATATTTTTAAATGATGGTTCATGTTTGGGCAGGGTTTGGTTGTTTTTGTCCATGCAAATATTACATTACGATGAATGGTTCTTATACAATGGCATCAAATATAACTTTTTATTATGTGTTTTGGGTTAAGTGGAGCATCACTGCACTCTTTTCTGTAGTGCTTGCTTCATAAAGTACATCTGTAGGATGTGTCACATGAGAATCATTACATTATAAAAAGGAATGAAGCTCTACATCTAACGCAGAGAACGAGTTATTTCTCCTTCGCCAGGATGTTTAATCACACTCTCGATATCAGACACAGGATACAGACAGGCGGGCTTAATACAACTTACCATGACCATGAATATGCAAATTCATGATTGGACTCTGGATGAAATTGATATTTCACTCACCACTCTTCCTGCCACTGACAGCAGGGAGAATAGGTTGGGCAAATCACACACACACAAATGTACAGATGGGTCAGCCTCATTCAGTCTGAAATGTCAGGTCAAGGAAGGTGAGAGACTGACGCTGAAGTATCCGTGACGAATCCGCTCTTTTCTATTACATTTTTTTTAATCAGACAACAGACAGATGAGACTTTTTCCGCTGGCCCAGTGTCTCACTGGCTGACCACAGAACAGCAGATCATTCCTAGAAACTAAAATGACGTCACTGTGTGAGAATATCTTCTCCTTAGCATACAGTAGTTGTGCTGTATTAACTCTTCATAAGAAGTAGAAAGTAACTAAATACATTTACTTTTAGCGTTATATTTAATAATCTGTACTTTTACTCCACTACATTTCAGAGGGAAATATTGTACTTTTTACTTCACTCAAAACATATGAATAGTTTAAAAAGATTAAAGATTAAACTGGTGGTTTTCAGCCTTGTTTTGCTTGTGATCTCTTACGAAAAGAGTGTGTAGTTGTGTCTCCTTATCAAATATCTTCATATACTCCAGAGACACTGTGTGAAGCCAAAACTTCGAAATCATAAAATTATACTTGAGCCACTAGACTCAACTTCAAACATACTAATGCTTTAATGCATCAGTATTGATCTAATATCCTAGATATTAGTCCAAAATAATAATAAATCAGTCACTGCACAGTACTTTAAAGGTCCACATAGTTTGTTGTGATTGTTTTCATTACCTTAGAATGAGCTATTGTTACCTACAGAGGGAGTGGGTCCTCTTCCACGGAGTCCGCCATGTTTCTACAGTAGCCCAGAAGGGACAAATCAAACAAACAAATAATCACTGGCTCGAGTTTTATGGCCAACATAGTTTCTCCTACACACTTGAATGGCTGAGCTGTATTCAGGTACACACTGGTCTTTAAGTACATTTTACTGATGATACTTACGTACTTTTACTTAAATAGGAGTTTGAATGCAGGACTTGTGTTTTTTCTTACTGTTCTTACTGTGTTTTTTTTTTTTACTGGTACTTTTAGTTAAGAAAAGGATCTGAGTACTTCTTCTACCACTATAAATGAACTTATAGGAAGCGTGACATGATACAATTTCATCAGCCTGGTATTGTTAACTTGGTCACAACTAGCTCTGTCACATTTGTGCTTCTGTTATTTTTTACATCCGTTGCCAGTGAATGTGTTAGGTTTGGTAGGACTGTGGACCGGGGTGCGGATACAGAACACTAGAGGCGGGTTAAGGTCAAGAGTTTATTCACCAAGAACTGAGTTTAAAGTGGAACTGTGTAGAAAAGGTGCGAGGTGAGAACAGGGGCAGACAGTCCTGGACAATGGCAACCAGCAATCCAAAAAGATCTTGAAAAGAGAAGAAACACAAAGCGTTAGTCCTGGTTCAGATGGAGAAACTCACACGAAACTAACTAAATACTCAGGAGACTAAATTGGCCTGAAGTACTCAACCATGAGAAGGTAAGGAATAAGTCTCAGGAAGCCCCACATCTTAAGGCCAGGCACTGATGAGGATTGCCAGCAGGTGTGTAACTCCACCAGGCGATCAGCTCACTGCGAGGCATAACACACACACCCACAAACACACAGAACACCACAGGAGAAACAAAAGAAAAAAGGAACACACCCCCAAGTGTCACAGCACCAACTGTGACAGAATGTGCGCTAAAATAAACATTTTCTCAAAAGTAACTGGGGAAAATAAGATCAACTATATCACCATGGAGTTATAAGCAGTAAAGCACTTATTGATGTTGAGTACAATTATTTGATCTCTTTTTTTATTGCATGTGCAATATTTACTTGCTTCTTTTGAGTCTTTATTACATTAAAGCAGCAGTCATTCAAAGTCGCTGTCTTTGATCAAACAGGATGCACTGATGCATCGCTGAGAAGATGCTAATAATTATCTATAAGTCACAATATCTTTAGACTTCTATACCTCAAATGCAGTCCTGTCGTGTTCAGTGTGAGCATGTGTGTGTGATGTTCTTACATGTGTATGTATGAACCGGCCCACCCGTGTACATCAAACACAACTGTCTACTATTCATGTCTTCAGCTGGGGAAATACTGCTGCTGGGTCATTTGGATTGTAATGCATCTAAATGGTCCAGTGTGTAACATTTGGGCGGGTGTTTGGCCTGAAATGGAATATATTATTCATAACTATGTTTCCATTAGTGTAGAATCACCTGAATATGAAGCGTTATGTGAGCAATTGTTATTTACAGGCACTGTGGGTTGTGTTCCATTGATTCTGCCATGTTGAATGACCATGTTTCTATAGTAGACCAGAAAGGACAAACCAAAACCGGCTCTAGATAGGGTCATCCGTGTTTTTCACACTATTCGCAGCCCCCATAGTTTCTCCTACACACTCGGAAGGGGAGGGTGAAATGAAGAAGTTGCTAAATCCTACACACTGGACCTTTTAAAATATGAAATATTGCAACATCTATAAATCATTTCATGTCATCAGCTATGACACATTATATATCGTGGTGCATATATCATGTTATACATCTGTTAAACATACAGAATGTAATTTCTGCCACTAGGGAGTCTCTCACATCAAAACAGTAACAAAAGACGTGTTTGAGGCGCCCTGATAGCTCAGTGGGTAGAGCTGGTGACCCATGTACCGAGGCTGAGTCCTTGCTGCAGCGGCCCAGGCTCGAATCCGACCTGCGGCCCTTTGCTGCGAGTCATCCCCTCTCTCTGCCCCCCTTTCCTGTATATCTTCAGCTGTCAACTATAATAAAGGCAATATAAAAATATATACTTAAAAAAAAAAAAAAAAAGACGTAGTTTGATAATGTGAAGCTGCGTGGGATCATTGGAGTCTTCATTCAACCACCATTGCTGATGAAAATCTATCTCACCTGATTGTTCAGGGACAAAACTTTTATTCATGTTACGTGTAGCCATATTTTCTAACTTCCTACTTGAGTCTCTGATGTATTCCGTGTTTACCCGGAAGTTATAGTAAATGATAAATTTGTCTGGGTTTGAACCCTGTTGGAAACATTTGGGATAATGTAAGTACACAACACAGCAACATATATAACAGAGGTATGGTGTTTAAAGACATTTTATGGGTAAATGTTACATGTTATACCTTTAAATTACCAAATCTAGCTGACACACAGAACAGCTGGGGGCTATAAATGTTATACCACTTGACTTCTGGCGAAATTTAACAAGGCTGCTGTCGTCTTCTGTGTGGAGGCAACACGGTACATGTGCAACACAAAGGGAGTGTTAGTAGAGGCCCAACAGAAGAACTTTGCCCTGGAGCCTTGTAATATGTTAATTTGTTCCCTACTGTAGCTTGGCATCATATCACCCGTTTCAATCACATATCTGCATTAGCTAGATTATTCTGTGATTTTGTTATGTTGACAGTAATTCAGTCACACAACGTCTCCCTCTCTCGCAGAGAACTCAGAATAGTGCTTTTGCTTTGTGCAGTTTTGTCAGAGACAAATAGGGGATGACCGCTCTGATCTGAACGTGACTCCCTTTTATCTGCCGTTGATTATTCATGCCTTGGAGTGTGCTCCCTCTGGACCTTCGTGTGCAATCAGGGAACCTGTCAGACACAAGCACTCCCTCCACAGTGTGGAGAGAAAGGAGCCATGGCTTGAGTGTTTCCTCATTCATTTGGCTCATGCATTTAAGATGGCTGCCACAGAATCTTTAGTGTTTATTATTTTGTTGCAGTGGATACAGTTAAAATACTGTAGCACTTAGGTTCTACACAACATCAACAGGCCTCTTTCCCCCTGTAAAGTTGTCATTTTAATTGTTGTGTAAACTTATAAGATATGGTTGTTTTGAGTTGTTGTTGAGCTGCACTGTCAACCTGTTAATCAAACAGGAATGTCTGTTTTTTTTTTAGCTCAAGAGTTAACAACAATGACTGTATTTATTAGGGCTTCGTATTGGCAAAATCTAATTCAATATATTGCAATCGCGCTATCAGCTAGGTTTTCTAATATGGTGTTGGTGTTTACGCTTGCGATACTTCATGTCTCAGTTTAGGTTGTTACGTTTGGAGTGGAAGAGTCAAATAACTGAACATAGAATGAATCTAAAATATTAATGAAAAATTGATACAGTGTTTTTAAGAATCAGTATAGTCTCACAAAACCTAAGTGTAGAGATTTTTGTTACACTTCTAGCTTTTATATGTTGACCATCACCTGCAGGATCAAGAATTGTTAAAAAAAATGTGTTCACATATGGGCTAACACACTATTGTTTGTAGAAGTGCATGAAATGTTACACACACGTGTGCAATGTGGTTTTTTGTAAAACATTCCCAAATTGGTTGCATTCCAATTAGCATTGAAGAATCCTGTGCATCGGGCAACGCCTTTAAAATGTTGGTGAGCAATTACAGACCAACGATAAGTGATACCCAAACAAAAACCTAAAGCCCTTTTCGGGTTCATTTAGATATTCTATTCACTCATTTTGGATTAGAGGAGATAAGAGAAGATTGGATGATATATGTGCCAAAAGAGAGAAAAAAATTCTTTACTTACAGCAAACAAATAGTGTCAAATTATTAGACTTCACTAGAACTTATGAAATAAATTTAATATTAATAATATAATTATTATTACTTTTATATGAATCAAATAGAAAAATACAAACCTCTGACCTGCATCCAGTGCACTGACCAGTGCTACAACGCTGACTGCTGACCTGTACCTACAATGTTAACCTTTGCCCTGTATCTACAATGCTAACCTCAGCCTTGTATCTAGAGCTCTAACAATGCCCCGTATCTAGAGCACTGAAAGATGCCCCAGATCTAATCTAGAGCGCTGACCGATGCCCCGTATCTAGAGCACTGACCTATGCCCTGTATTCATCCTGACCTCTGTTACTTAGTTAATAAAGATTTGCTTGAGTCCATTTGACAATAATACGATCTGTGCAAGAAAATTATTTTCAAATTATTGACCTTCACTTACCTGACCTTCAAATTAAAATATCATTATTGTTACTATTATATTAATCAAATATACAGTACAGACCTCTGACCTGTATACAGCACTGATCTCTGTCCTGTGTCTGTCTATTATGGTGGAGCTATTGTCGGTAGAATTGTATGAAATGTTACACACACATGCAATGTGGCTTTATGTACATTCCCAAATTGGTTACAATCCAATTCAGCATTGAAGAATTATGGCCCATTCAGTACATCAAGCCATTTCTTCAAAAGTTTGGTAACCAAATACAGACACACGTTAAGTACCAAAACACAAACCTATAAGTCTTGTTCAGCTTCATCTAAATATGCTATGTGATTCACAGATTTTGGTGAAGATTATATGAAATGTCAAAAAAAGCAACAAATGTCTTTAATAAAAAAATCCAAATTGGCAGAATGTTTTTAAGGTCTGAATGAGTGTGGCCTATATCAGTAAAAGTAGTATCATACAAGGAACCCACCGTTTTTCAAAGTTTTAGAATTCGATACGCTTAATAACTGGCCACATGGTGGTGCTATTGAAGTCAGTTAGTAAAGGTTATTTCAATGGCTTTTTGGTTAAATACCTGAAATAAGGTCTGTGGTTAAAACAAGAGATTCATGTTTTGTTTGATGACATAAAATATGTTCTTATTTGTCTTAAAAAAGACAGTTGCTGACAAGTGGCTAAATGAAACTACAGAGGTTGTTGGTGAGATGACTTGTTGATTTAATGTAAAAGATTTAACATCATGTTAGATGTTTAGTGGTGGTGAAGTTAAAGCCATGCAACCGTGGTTTAGTTCTTTTATAGCATTATGTTGGCTTGAACTTCTGGCTATTGCATTTACGCTTCAAACATCATTTGTGTACATTTGTGAAGATCTTGCACAATAAAAAGTGTAAGTATTATAAACCTTGGTTCGCCACAGAGCTTATTTCCTGCAATAATCCAAAATCCAATGGAAAAATGCCACTGGCTTTTTGTCAGAGGAACCAGGACTTTAACTTCTGGGTTCGACTACAAAAATATAATTTATAATTTATAGAATTATAGGATTTCATATGTGATTTGCTATAACTTTGCCCAAGTCAGCGCCCCAACACGTGAAGAAATAATCCTCTTCAAAAATAATTGAAAACACACATTGTTGACTTTACAACTGCTTCAGAAGATTTTAAGAAATTGTGTTTTAGAGAGCTAAAGTTTCACTGCCTTTCTGAAGCTAGCCTTGTTAGCCCCTGCGGGACCTTCACTATCGTGAGTGAAGGATAGCACTGTAGGTTTTTCAGGTTTTAAGTTAAATGGATATCTACTGTACTCTTTTGGTTAGTAACGTTTCACAATTTATGGTTTATAAGTTGTAGCTCTAGTTGTTGAAAGCTAACGACATAATTTGGTTTTGTCTTGCTTGAAATTCTAATGTTCACCATTAGTGTCCGGTCCAGTCATCGATACACAGCTTCATGACATCGCGCCTGCGGCAGGATTTGTCTCCGTCGCGTTCCGGCTGCTGGAGCTGATGCATTGTAGACTTTGCTGGATTTTGGCCATTAAGGACTTCAGCTCTCTAAAACAATTACTGTGTTACTACAGAATATTTCTTTATGCTTCTTTTTCCTGTTTTTGAATCAACATCATCTCTGGCAAAGCTTCCATCCTAATATATCTATAATGGTTTTGTTCCCTCCTCCCTAAGCCCCCTCCCAAGCCATCACCCCAACTTATACAGCACACCCCCCATCCGTACAGCGAACTCCCCTACAATAATCTGTTGCAACCTCCAGCAAAACACACCTGTCTTATGATTTTAGTTTTGTCAAATTTCCTTTATTTCATTTTTATTCTCCAAAATATCCTGTTTGTTTCTTTCTTTTTCCTTTTGGTTTTTACTCTTGATTTTTTTTAACATGTCTTTTATTTAACCCTCTAACCCTTCTCCATCCAAAATTCCCTCTCCCTTACCCCTCTCCTCCCCTCCCTCCACCCTCCGTCCCTTCCCTCCACCTCCTCTCCCAACCCCTTCCTCCCTCCCTTACCCCCGTCCCTCCCCTCCTCCAGTTTAGAGACCGCCAAATCCACCGCCCAGTCCTCCTCCATGCCGTCTCCCGTTGACCTGACCATGAGCTTCACCCAGCCCGCCCCCCCTGCCTCCGCCTCGTCCTCCTCCTCCTCCCCCCTGGCAGCGATGGGCGCCACACTGCCCCATGCTCCCATCCTGGGCGCTCCCTACGCCCTCCCCCTCTCCAGCCTCCTGGGGATGAAATCCATCCCCTACCTGGCACTGTCCACCCCTCCTGCCTCAGCAGCGGCGGCGGCTGCTATCGGGGCTCCCATGTTACAGGGTTCGATGCAGACAGCAGCGTCGGCAGGTGTTCCAGTTCAGGCTCACGCAGCGGCGGCCCTGGCTTCCTACACGGCCAAGATCTCATCCTCGGCCAACGGGATGAAGAAGCCGGAGAGACAGAAGTTTGCACCGTACTAATGAAGGAGGTGGAATGAAAGGATGAGTTTGCATCACTGAGGTAGCTTCTGAGAATGAGGAGGTGTTCAGATGGAAGGGCAGTTTTATTTTCCTTCTTTTATTCTATTTGCTTTTTACTTTATTCTTTCTTCCTCTCCAACTTTTATCCTTTTGTTTTTTATTCCTTTCTTATTCATTGCTCAAAAAAAGTGGGATAATTGGAAAATGTATGATTTCAGATGTGATGACATGGAAGCCACTAGCAGCAACAACTCGGGCAAGGTAAAGTAGTTTACCTCATGTAGAATATCTGATTGATTAGACCTGTTTTTATTCAGGAATGCACTGCTAACAAAGTCCCCCTAACTTACGGGAAAATATTACATTCTTCACAATAAAGCCTGCCACCTGATCACCAGTGGAAAGCTTTTAATGTGAAGGTTTAACTGCAGGAACACAGCTCTGATACAGCTGAATGTGAGAATGCAGTAAACAGTAAAATAAGGCTGGTAGTGAAAGTACAGCAACACAAGAGGGAAACTAAACTCCAAACCACAGTCAGATAGAAGCTACAAAAGTACTGAGAGCTGAAAACAGAGAGAAAACAGAGCGCTCTCTCTAGGGAAGCCACACAAGTTGGGGGAGGCTGTTAAGGGTTGGCTCTGATACCAAGGCGGCTTTCCCCCGCTGCGAGGCTGCAGTGGAAACATGTCATCACGGCTTGGCTTGACACAGTGCGGGCCTGTGGAAAAACCTTAAGAAAGAGCAACTACTGACGCTGGTTGTAATTTCATATGTCGCTAAATCTGAAAAGAATTAGTCATTTTCTCTGCAAACTCATGCAGACAGACATTACTAACTCGGAACCTGCTGCCAGAGAGCCAGACACCATGGCTCATGGGTAATCAGAGATGCAATGAGGGAGATGGTCAAATTTCTGTCTAAGCTCCACATGGGAAAAATAAATTAAAGAACAGATAGAAGATAAAGAAATAATACTCTCTATCTTTACCTTGCGGGACACAAATAACATATTTGTCTCAGCTTTTTCTTCCACTGCCACTCAAGGCAATTTAAAAAAAACTAACTTTTATGAGTGCTTTAATCCTCAAAGCCGGGCGAGAGTGGTGAGGACGTTGTAGACTGAAAAAGATAAAAATATCCAGCAGTGTCTGATCACTTGTACTCACTCATGATACTGACAGTGAGTCCTAATTATCAGGCAGCATGTGGGATATTTTTGAACTTTTATTTCTCATTGGTGATTAAAAAGGTGCAAAAGTAGACAATCCTGTACAGCCACTTCCAACAGGGGGATGGGTCACTATGTACCGCTACTGTGATGCTCTATTTTAATGTTTGTTTAGTATTGCTTATCATGTTTCTGTGCAGATATTCACTGGTTTAATAAACCACTCAGGGTCGCTGACTCCTCTCTACATCCCCTTTGTAGACAAATGGTCCTCAACACAGCCATAATTCACGTGTCACAATTTGCATTAGCTTTTCCCTCCTTTGCATTATAGATTAGAAATGTTCCTAGACGAACCCATGGGTGTCTTCATGTCTCTGTCTGCAGGTTGTAGGTATGTTGACCCGTAAGTTTAGTTCAGGGTGTGAACGAGATCTTCTCACAGCAGAACAGACTTGAAGTTTAGCCTCGGGTTGACACCAACAATTTTTGTTTACAAAAATAGAAAATTCTTACCACCCCGGGGGGCTTTAAAGATCCAGTGTGACACATGTAGGAGGCATGTTTCATTAGTGTATAAAAAACTAACGTTGTGTGTTTGTTACCTTAGAATGAGCAGTTTTTATCTCCAGAGGGAACAGCTACTCTTCTACAGGAGCCCAGAACGGACAAACCAAACACTGGCTGTAGATAGGTTACGCCATAGTAAGACTCAACGCCACTAACTCTCACACACATTTAAGAGCGCACCAAGGGTGATGCATTTTTATTGTTGTTATTATTGTGTTCCTTTTAATTGCATCATTAATCACATAAAAAAAACATTGACTCACAAACCAAAAGGAAGAAACACAAACCAAAAGACAGACAATACAAGCTGAGATTTTAGATGCAGATTTCTTTGCATGTCCCTCTTTGTAATATTTAGGAATGATAGTAATTTTGGTTTTGCAACCCCACCCACTTCCAACCAGTTTGAACACATACAGAAAGAATTCAGTCTGTAACTTAGGCAGAACATTGTGTTTTCATGTATCACTCATAGTGAGAGATTGATCTTTAATTATGGATCTGTGAATCCACAAACCTGCTGAGGTCTTTTGACCTATGTTACATCAATATATAATAATATATATATATCACATAATTAAATGATGCAAGTTCATATGTCACATTTACATCATCATAACCTCTGGCCTTATATATCTGTTGCACATGCAGATAAATTGCATGTTATTTGGTTTGAGCATGTGTTAATCTTTCAGTTTAAATGTGATTTTTCTACTTTCTTAGAAATGCGTCTTGATTCCATAAACATTAAGATGAGAATGAAGTAGCTGATAGTTAAATATACCGTGAAGTGTGTGTGCAGAGTGTGTGTGCAGAGACAGAATCCAGACTGTCGTAGCAGGTCATCATCATTTTCCAATAATCCCACTTCACGTCTCTCTCAAACGGTTTTGTTTGCGTTTTATTTGCATTCTTGGAGCTCTGCCCTCACTGGAGTGACTGTTTGGAGGTTTGGCTAGTGTTTGTAGCTACTGTATGATGATATTAAAGGTTATTTGGGCCACAAAGCCTGTAAAAGCCATAGAGACTATTCAGCTTTTTCCCTCCTTGTCTGTTTCCTGCTCTCTTTTTGTCCCTTACTCCTTATTCTATTGTATACTCTCATATTTATTGACTAATATGAAATATTCCCTCAGAGAGTTTATATCACTGGTCACTAACACTGAGCTGAACAACTCGGCTTTTGTATACAATGATGTCTACTTGTATATGACTACTTCCTTTCTGCTTCCTGTCTGTTTTATTCTTTATTTTTAGTATTTGTTGTATAGAGTTTTTTAAAAACACAACAGATTTAAAGAACGTCTTTTTACGTTAACAGTCTCAACTTGTTTTTGTTCACAGTTCTCATTTGAAATGTGTTGTTTAAATTATTTTGTAACTTATTAAGACGAGTATTACATTTACAGATTTAGAAAATTCTCTTTCCAACATGGCTGCAGGTAAATACTGTAAAACTGTATCTGAGGTTGTTGTTTGTTTGTTTTTTAGTTGTGTGAACAAAATTAACTTTTTGTGTTTTTTTTTTTCCGGGGAAAAAAAATAATGATCACTGTACCATTAATGCTAATAACCAGATGTTTTTGTTAGATAGAAGAGTAGTGTTTTCACTTGTGAGCTCAAACTGGACATTTTACCACACACACACACACACACACACACACACACACACACACACACACACTTTCTAACTGGGGACATGTGTTTGTAAATGTCTGCCCTGCTTCTCCACAGAACTAGAATCAGGTAGAATGACCATCTGTAAAACCTGATGTTATACAGGATTTTTCAGAATGAGTAAATATCACAGATAATTTATATTTTTCTGGATTGAATGGTGCAAAACTGTGCTGATTCCCTGCAGCTGTGACGGCATCTCGTACAGTGATTCTTTAGTCAGTGCTATTGGTCAATAACCTTGTAAGCTGTTAGCAGATATATCAGGGACACTGTGACAATCCATCGCTCACTCTCAGTGTAATGGATGGAACTGACATTGTATGGCATTTTTCAGTTCAGTAATGCATCCCAACCACCTTAGGTAGAGGTGGTTACCCACAGCCATTATTAAACTGGTCACTCATTGGTCAGAAACAGAATACCAGTAAAGCCAGGCTCACACTTTTAGAGGAGTTGTAGAGTGGCACAATAAGGACAAACTTAAAAATCATCTCAAATGTGCACACACTACAAGATTGGAAAATAAGGGTGCATCACATTTAGTATATTATTAATATTACTGTGCCAGAGGGAGCAATGCACTTCCTCACTTGATCTCATGGGGAAGAAGATGTTAACAAAATGGAGACTGACGTAGCGGAACAACACCGAGTAGTAACATTAATGCTTTTCAGTGAGAAGGACCGACAGGAGAGGGGATATTGGATGTTGATCCCTGCTGAGTTGTGGTTGTTGTACTTATTCTAGTTCTGTGTCCCTCCTGTGTGTGAAAGCAGAAAGCAATGTTTCTTTTATTTTTTATTTTTCCAACTAAACTGATGCTCAGCTCGGTTTACTGTCCTTGCCAGAGTGTCAGAGACTAATGCTGCATGTTTGCTTGGCCTCACTAACACACACACACACACACACACGCACACACACACACACACACACACACACACACACACACACACACACACACACACACACACACACACACACACACACACATTTATGTAAATAAACACAAAGATGATCCTGATTAGTTTAACGCACACTTACAAACCAACTGACAGAAACACACACACACACACACACACACACACAGAGACACACAGGCCTCGGTCATTGCACTGACAGTGTGAACTAAAAGCAATATTAAACAGAGCCGGATGAGTAGCTACACAGGCAGGCAAATATACGTGTGTGTACTTTTCAACTGTAACAAATACATTAATATTTAACTTGATGGGTTGTCGATGCATAGAATTCTCTGCTCCTTCTGTTTGTTTTTAAAAATAATGATAATGTGGCATATTAAACAAGCTCACTTATTTTTATAAAGGCAGATAACCTCGTTGATGAACTGAATTGAACTGTGGACACCCGTGTTTAATCACTCATCTCACCCATCCATCCTCTCCACACTCACTCTTCATGTCTTTGTGTTTTTGTTTCCCTCTGTTCATTGTCCACGTGTCGTTCGTCCCATTTGCATGAGTCTGACTTGAATCGATGTCTATGCAAAAACATCTCTGTGTGGTTCAGCTCAGTGATCCATGCGTGGAGGCTGTGCTGGTGCTTGTGAAGTGCAGCTGAAATGAAAGGGCTACAGTAGACTACGGGTCTGGCTCGCAATGCATCTGCCCTGAGGATCCATTTATAGTTAGTTTACCAACGAGAGCATCGAGTCCAATACGATAATTGTATTAGGTATGGTATTATTGTATTAGGTAGGTATGTTTTCATTTGTGTATAATCACCTGGAAATAGGAATCAGTGTGTTTTTGTTACCTTACGATGAGAGTTTTTATCTACAGAGGGAGCGGGTCCTCTTCTACAGAGTGATGTCAAACACACAAGCCCAACCCTGGGACTAGGGGAGGGTGAAGCGAGAGAGATACAATCTGTATTTGCACTGCTAGATGCATCTAAATCCTACACACTGGTCCTTAAATGACACCGCTGCTCAGTTAGTGTAACCAGTCCAGTTTAAGTCCAATTCAAGTCCAATTCAAAGAACCCAAATACAAATAGTTCTGACTAAAACAGCACAAAGATTAAAGTTCATATGAGACCAGACACTTGCAGCGGCGTGAATTGACCATCTCAGCTCGCCTAAAGCCGGCTGATGGTCTCACCTGCGACTCAGCTTGTCAATTCTCCACTGACTGGTTTTAGTCTGGTTAGACTGGTTTTATAAAGGCATATTTCAGCAGCCAATCAGCTTGTAGCAAGGTCACCTGGTCAAGTCAGTTACAAACTGTTAGCTGGTCATAATGGTTTTTGACCTCATTAATTTGTTTGAGGAACAGCCGTGTCTGTATGCCTAAAATGTACTCCAATAAAGAACGCCCATGGACGGCTCCAAATTCTCCACCTCTCATTTGTTTTCACTGTTTCATCAATAAAATGTAACAGTAGCTCTATCACAATCCTCATTCATATTTTAAGATGCTACAAATTCTATCCAGCTACCAAAACAAGCCTGAAATCCCATCAGTTAGAACAGAAGAACAGAGTCTTTGCTATGGAAACAGCACGTCGCCTCGTCTTGTTGCACCGCTGTAAACTGGTAGCTTTTCTGAATGTTGCAGATCAGCTCATCTCGTCGCCAATGTTTGATCTCCAAAATCACAAGAAGACTCCAAGGAAGTCTATTTTAAACAAATAAAATGCCTTTAATGCCACAGCATGCTCAAGCAAAGGAAGGCTATATGAGTTTAAAAATGTTGTTTAATTCAACACTTGTTAAATCTGAACTAGTCACGCACTGCTGTTGAGAAGAAATTAATTCAACCTCTGGTCTGATTTTTAATGAACGCGTTTTATAACTTGGGGTCTTTGTGTGCCTACAAATACAGCACAGAATTCCTTTATTAACAGCAGATTCTTCATGAAAATGGCCAACACAGACTGCGTCCTTCATGGTTCTTTAGGAAAATAATTGTGCAGCTTCACTTCGCTCAACATATTTTACAACTTGTACAGGTATCTTCGTGTGGAAACAAAAACATGTAAAAAGAAATGCTCTTCAGGGTAAATGTGCTGCAAGAATCAGACCCTCGGTACAGAAAGGATGGAGGTTTCAGCAACACTATACAAGACTTTATCAAACATAGAGAAGGAATTTACTATATAATGATGCTCTCATTCCAAGTTGTACTACAAATACA